ACTGCTAGGTGGAAAAAGGTGCTCAAAAAAAAACCCTAAACCCTAAACCCAAAACCCTCTTAGATTGAGGGCTTTAAGTTTTAAAAGTCGGAAGCTTGCCAATACTAGCACGAGGGCTCCGGATAAAAAATCAGCCCCTCATTGTGATCAGGGGTGCCTTCATCATCTGCATTTGTTTAGTCTGGCCCTTGACATTTGCCAGTTTTTCACAGGGCGTGCTAGATCTGAGTGTTCATGCCGTTCAGCACAGACGAGCTATGTTTTTCGACTCGGGTAGGGTAGACTCGGGATGCAGGCGCTCACTGTAGGACGCGAGATGCAACTCTTTGAGCTGGGACTCCCAGTCTCTCAGCTTGGGTAGAGGGGGCTCCGAAGGAATCAGGTCCCGTATTGGAAAACCCGGTCATGTAATCTTGTTCAAAGTCGGGACACAGCTGTTCCGTAGCAGTGCTCTGCTTTTCTGCAAGCCAACCCGAAACCCTTCACCCTGAACCTCACCTGGCTTTGCCGACTTGCGAGTGTCAGAACAAACTCTGAACCCGAAGCCTGAAAACCGAAACTCGTTCTCAGGAGATCGCCAAGAAGTTCACCACCGCCGCCAGCTCTTGGCGCCCCAACCAGGAGGGGTCTTTAGAATAGGGCTCTATTTAGGGCTTTAGGGTTCGCTCATGTGGTCCATAAAAAGTCGTAGAGGGTTTAGAGGGCCTTAGCCTTGGAGTACGGCTCCATCAAAAGGTTCCTTCCAAGGCCTCCTGTAAAGGATGCCTGTAAGGGATTCCCTTAAAAGGATGCCGTTGAGGGTTCTAGAAGGGATCTATGGCAGGCTTCCATAAACGGGAGATCAGGGTTCAAGGGCTTTGGGGTTTTGGCTTTGGGGGTTTGAGCATTCGGGTTTTATGTTTGGGAGTGGCTCGGGGTTTGGGTTTCGGAGCTTGCGGATTTTGGTCTGTGAGATGCAAGAGTTGATCGAACTACCGCTGCTGGGTTTAGGGTTTAGGGTTTAGGGTTTAGGGTTTAGGGTTTAGGGTTTATGCACAAAAAACCTTGCGGTCCTACCCCAACATCTAAACCCGCGCGTAATTCTAAACTGCAGCAAGGATTTCTGGTTCCGGGGCTTCCTTTTGCAAGGGATCGGCGCACAAATCCGCACAAACCCGGGTTCAAGAGTTCAAGGTCAGGGTAGGGTACGTTTAGTAAATTTAGGTTGAGGTGCCGGATTCGGGGCCTCAGGACAACAGGAGCCAAGTCTGCAGAGGCTCCTCAACCCTAAATCTCAAAAACCCACATCCCAAAACCCCGAGCCCCAAACTGCAGAGCCTGATCCCTTCGTATTTTTTTTTCAAAAAGGGCCCGTTTAGAAACCTTAAACCCTGAATCCTCAACCCTAAACCCTGAATCCTCAACCCTAAGCCCTCTTCCCGAAACTCTTTTCGGAAGCAACCCTCCTACAAGTGGCCCTTGAAGCAAAGCTTACTTGGAGGTTCATGGGTAGTTATAAGTGGGGTTATAAGTAGGGTAACTATAATTATAACCCAAATTAGGGGACTTATAAACCCACTTATAACTACCCATGAACCTCCAAGTAGAGGTGGGCAGCCCTTCCTCTGCAGATGCCCGGGAAGATGACAGCGCCGTGGAGGAGGCGAGCCGGGGAGGGTTTGGAAGGGTCGGTATAGACAAAAAGGTGTGAGAGTTGGGTTTAGGGTTTAGGAGTTGAGGGTTTAGGGTTTAGGGTCGTATTATGGTTTCAGGAAGGAATAAATCTTCAACTGCGCTAAGGTTCCCTCTAGTACAGATCATTTTATCAGAACAGATGCACATCGCGTGCAGGGCTCTTCTGTGAGTTTGAAAGCCCTGTTGTTGCTAAGCCTTCTGGAGTGGTCGTAGCCCAGCATTGTCATGATTGCCGCTGGCAAGTGATTGTGCTACGCAGCCGACGACTTCAACCTCGTGCTATGCTCCCCTGAATCCCTCAGCCTGCGAAACAAAAGTGTATAGCATTGAAATCACGGTTGTGCTGAAGACAAAGCGTAAACCCTTAGCCCTTAATCGAAGCCCTAGGCCCTAAGCCCTAAACCTGATGCTGAAGCGCTGTTGTTGGTAGGCTGATTGCCAGCAGTAAATTAGGTGCAAAATACATACATGCATGCATGTGTACATGCATGGATGCATGCATATAAACATGGATGGATGCATTTGTCATACATATGCACAGTGTGTGTGTGTGCGTATGTAAAGAAATAAATAAGTAAATATATTTTGTATATATGGCTGTGTACACATGTTATATATGTTCGTATACGCACATAGACATACATAAACTTATGCACACACGCACATACATGTGTATGCATGCATGCACACACACACACACACTCACACGTACATACATGCATACATACATACACACATACATACATACATACATACATACATACATACATACATGCACAGATGCATGCATGCGTGCATGAATGCATGTAGACACATCCATCATACATGCGGACCCACACACATACGTACACACACACACACACATGCGCACATCTTAAATGCAGGCATGCATCACAGTTACATGTACCTGGATACATGGGTACATGCATACATATGTACTTTGCATACATTTAGTCATGCATGCATGCATACGCAAGTCCTCGGATGCACAAATACACACGTACACACATGCACACATATTCGCACAAACACACGCATCTACAGATCCACACGCCCACACACACATACACACCTACATGCATACATACATACATACATACATACATACATAGCCACATACACACATACACACATACAC